CACATCATATATCTTTGATGATTTTCATCAGTCTTTTAGATTTTGATGAAAACATCAAAAAATGTTTTTTTGATGTTTCGTTTTATCAAAAAGAAAAAGAAAACAACCCGAATTTTTTGATGTGGCGCACATCATCTGTCGCAACGTGCCGCCAAACGACTTTGACTACTATATCAGGCTGTCGGGAAAATAATATAATAACGGGAGCGCCTTGGAATGTTTGCGTTGGCAAGCCGCAGCTGGAAGTTTAATGCACCACTGGACCATTTTTTAAACGAGCCACAACGTTCTGCTGCGATGACCCGCCATTATTTTTCCGACAGAGTGCTAGGAAAGGTTTACGAAAAATACCGAAAATCGTCATTTTTTAGGCGTTTAAGCTTTGTCCACGTCGTTGGTGAACCAACGAGCACTACCTTTTCATATTACGGATAACCATGTCTTTCGAGGAAAATGGGAACGTCACCAATTTGCATGATTATTATTTGCTTTTCGAAGAAAAATAAAAAAAAAACAAAAAATGCAGCGCTAGACAATACAACTACTTATGCGATGCGGGATTATTCATAGCTGGCATAAATTATGCACAGAACTCTGTACTAGGTGAGCTGAAAAGTATTGACATGTCTGCACTGCAACGCAGCGCAAAAACCTTGCCGCAACTATTCAAACGGCAACAAGAAAATAAAGAAAAATTGTCGGCAGCTATGCGATTTTTGATGCGACGAAGGGCTCATTGTTTTCCCGACAGACTGATTTAACAAACAATTTGTTGGTGTCATGACTATATTTTGGGCCAAAGTACATCCCTAAATCGGATTCTTCAACAACAAATAATTTTTTGGTCCCGTGCGACTAGTTGTTCAGAGGTGTCAGTACAAAATAATGCCAACCGTATGTATATAAGTCTGTCGCGAAAAATGAGCGCTTCGCATGGAAAATCGCATTGCCGCCGAGAAAATGAATTGTGCTGCGGCAAAATAAAATCGAATTGCTTTTCACTCCAGCGACGCGATGGGCTCAGCGACATTGCGCTTACTATTTTCCCGACAAAGTGATGCAATTTTCCTAGTGGCGCAGCGACGTTGCCCTCATTATGTTTCCGACCAACTGAGAGACGGATGTCGCTGTTTGGAAGCTCGAATTTCCTTGCATTAACTATACTCAAAATCATCGACCCCTACCACCCATTGTTATCACTTCCGTTCCACTGGAACCACAACGCTCTTGAGCAATTTGTGAAAAAATAACTTGAGTGTCTTCGGCGTCGATTAAGCCCCATCTTGAACTTCCATCTTGGTCCGCCGCGAACTCGCGTGTTTATATTTTTTAATCCCCCTCCCTCCTCGGGCTTTAGCGACGCTGAACTGCCGTGCCATGAACGAACAAAACGAAAAAAAAACGCGGGGTGAAATAATGAAACAGTTGAGTGCATAAATTATTTGTTCTACTAAATTCTGGAGAGCCCTTGGAGCCGCGTGTTTGTTGAAAGGAGTTAATTGTGGACAACGTTCCCACAATTAACAAAGTCGGGGATTTTTGGTATTTTGTTTGCAGGAGGAGGAAGAGGAAGATGGGAATTGGAAGGCAATATTAATGAGGAGTTGAGGAGAAACAAAAAAAGGTCATCAAAAAAGGCGGTAGAAAACGACTCACGTTTAGGTATGGCTCCGGACCAGGCTATGTATTATATATTAAAGAACTGGGGCCAGGATGAAAATCGCAGCCGGCCTGGTTCGGCCCGGGCCCGGAAAAGGTCGGCCCGACACGAAGTCGTTTCAAACTCGCCCTGCACGGCCCTGCAGGGCCTAGACCTGCCTGACTTGAAAGGAAATTCGGACTTTCCAAACTCGGCGAAATTGCAAGATCTTATCAAGAAAACAAAAAATCTCTTCCTCCAGAATAAACAAAATCGAATGGCATGGGTTTACTAGTCGCGTCATAAAGTCCATGGAATTTTGCACAGTGCGTTTTTGTCTTTCTTTTGACAACACCCCAAACGATGATGATTTCCCGTTTTTGCACTACCGGCAAGCACTCTTTTGCGAGCGTACTCCCGCGACGTCGCCGAAAATGTTCTATCAGTCTGTCGGGAAAATAACGGCGGATCGTCGCGCCTCGGAATCGCCCATCATCGCTTTGCGACTGCAAGCCGCGGCTGGGGATTTGGTGCGCGATAGCAGCGAGGCGAGACATTTTGCTGCGACAATCCGCCGTTATTTTCCCGACAGACTGATACTGACCTTGTGGCGCGACTACATAGTATTGGCATTCAAAAAAATCCGGCTAGGACGTTTTTCACAGAATCAAAGTTTCCAAAATCATTAAATAAGAGAAGAAATTTTACCCGGGGCGACCGGGACGAGCTTTCGAAATCTTCGCTTACATGGGTCGGTCTTGCAAATCTCGGCTCAAGCTTGCGGCCCGGATTGCAGCCCCTGTTGCTGGTTACTTCAGAAGGGCTTAAGGCCAAGATACTAGGTCAGTCTGTCGGAAAAATAATGAACACTCTTTTGCATCAAAAATTAGTGTGTCGCCATGCTTACTCAGGCTTCCTTATGTAGGCCAGAACACAGCTAAATGAGAAAGAAGATATCATATAACCTGGCTCCACGCAACATTTACGTCCGAAAAATCTAAAGTTGAACAAAAATTTATTTTCTTGCAAACAAGCGATTGCGCAAATTTCCAATTTCATTCCCCAAAAAGAGAGGCGTTCTATTTCCACCCCCTCTTTAACATACGAAACTAACGACTATAAATTTATTTTTGGACCAAAATATGGCTGTTTCGGTACAAAGTGCAATAAATACAAATACAAATTGTATTATATACCTATATATAGTATTAAAATTAAAGAAATAAACATTATTTGTAATTGTAGGTGTAAAATAAAGCACACCGTGCTTTAGATTGTCCTATTCAAAACAGTTTTCTTGCACTGTGCGGGGTCGCAGTGCACCGTGAATTTTATTTGTCGCCGCGCGACAAGTTGTTTGCAGGACGGCGGAATGTGGAGATATGTCAAGACTTTTTGGCCCGCCGTTTTACCAATTCCTCGCAAAAAATACTTGGTCCGCAGAAATCTTACAAGGAAATGATGCCATTCGCCTCATTTTTATACGAAGACGTTGGAGCCTGCCCACCTTGTTGTTGGGGGCTACGGAATAGATAGCCATGCTTTTCATGGAAGAGGATTACCAATTTGCATAATTATTATTCTTATATTTTATTTTACAATGGAAGTGTTTCAAGTGCGACGCCCAGATTTGAGTAAAGCTTGGCGTAAATTTAGATTAATTTTTTCTAAAGTTCTACGAGAATCCTACTAGCGCTGCGCACAAACGACCGAGGTTTTTAGAGCATAAGACCGCAAGAAAATATCTGTTTTTAACCTTACAACCAGACGGTAATGTTTCAACAAAGAATATTTTTTCCGCATGCAACATGCAAAGCCAAGATATGCCAAAACGAAAAGTTCCATACCTTTTCTAATATCGAGGGTTGTGTTCCTACAAAAAAATCAATCTGTTCCGCACGAAACTGGAAACTAGTACAGGGTGTCCAGAGAAATTCCGCGGAAAGTGTTTGCCGATTTCTCGGCGCTCAGGCAAGATATCCAAATAATTCTTTTTGCATTAGAAAGAAGACTATGGGCGGTTTTTTGTCTGAAAAAGTTTTTTTGTCCGCCGACGCGGAACATGCTGTATTCGGCGGAGACTTTTGGTAGCTTTTTTGGTCATCACACCAATCTTAAAAGCTTCAATACGATTTCTGATTGTTAAGAAAAGAATGTTATCTTATTTTTATGTTTACCAAACGTTCGGCAATGGAATGGTGAGCTTTCCGTATCGGAGGAGGCCACAACTTAGCTTTGGATAGGAGATTTCCCAAACATTATGTGGCTTGCATTCTTTGCTGATCCGATATGTTCTCCAAAATTTCGTCGCCAAGCCTTGGCAGCAGTTACGCCATCAGTAAACCATTTGGTGCACCAGAAAACAACAAAATATTTTTTGTTTGAACTTCTCTTTGCCCCGCTGTTTCAAACCTCCGCACGATGCGGTCGGACTTTACCGCTGTTGACGCAACTACACAGTGAGGGGCAGTCGCTAAATGCGACTGCATAGCGTTGTCGTCAGTCCCCTGATTCATTGTGGAAAAAAGTTGAAGGCTCCCCGGTAGTTTCAGGATCATAGTAAAGCGCTTAAGATTGGTGTGATGACCAAAAAAGCTACCAAAAGTCTCCGCCGAATATAGTACGTTCCGCGTCGGCGGACAAAAAAACTTTTTTAGACAAAAAACCGCCCATAGTCTTCTTTCTAATGCAAAAAGAATTTTTTGGATATCTTGCCTAAGCGCCGAGAAATCGGCAAACATTTTCCGCGGAATTTCTCTGGACACCCTGTATATGGCCAAAAAGTGTTTAGTAATGCTAGTTTCAATCCCATAAATGCGGTTTAGCTATAGCCAAAAAGTGTTTTTTCTCTGCCACCCTCTGCGTTGTGCATACTCTCTCCACAACAAGGGTTGTTCAATATTTCGGGGGCGCCTACAAATCGCAAGCTAGGACTTTTACAAATTGATATATCTCCCATGTCTGACGTCTGTGCAAACCTTAAAAAAATCTGAGCGTCGCAATTGAAAGCATTTTGAGAATTTCACCGACGTATTAAACTTTTCCTCACATTGCACTTTTAGCCTCAATAAATCTTTTTTTCCTACAGTCAGTCGAAAAAGGGTGCTAAATAAACTACAGAGTACTCGGCCTAATTGTTCTATGTCGTGTGCAGTCCGCATGAGTGTCTGAATTTATATTGTCTGCAATTACGGAACCTTTATAAGAATTCGCTCTGTTTGGGCTTCAGGAAACGTTTCATTCTGTCTTCAGTGTGTTCTTATATTAATATTATTTGCCTTTCTCCTCTCAAAATTGAATGAATATTACTGTAGAGAATGAACTTCTCATCCGGCTCTTTAATTTCATCGGCAAATCCGTTATGGTTGTCGAATTCGGCTTTGGATTTGTGATGGTTGGACTTAATGCCATGTACTTGAAGAGGTTCTGGCAGCTGGAGTCGTATCACAAAAGCTTCCGACAGACGTTTGTAAGATACTCCATATTATTAACGGTGTTTAAAAAAATTTTGAAAAAAAAAAGTTTTTGCTTATGTCTTTGTTCTCTTTGCAGCTCTCTACGAGATTTAAGACTGATTTAAAATTTGCAGCCGTGAGTTTTTAGAATAAGCGAAAGAATTTTTTACTGCCTCGGCGGAGTGGCCATTTTCGGCGGAGACACGGCCGAGATATTGAACGATCTTTGCCGTCAAGGAAGTCAAGGAAGAAATGCGGAGAGATTTCAGAGCGGAGATAAAAACAAATTTTAGTAGTATCTTTCCCAAGGGCAGAAAAAAATTTTTTTGTGGAAACAGTACAGTAAGGGACCTAATCCAGTGGCAAAAAACGTATCATTTTGCATCCGGGAAGTATCAAAAATGTGGCTAAATGCTTCCCTCTCCAATTGAAACAACCCCGATTTCAAAACCGCGCCCGCTTTTTTTGTGAGTGAAAGGGCGCGCCCTTCAAAACGAAGTTTTTTCACTTGGAGAGGGATACATTGTGCCACGTTTTGGTCCCCCACTATATATCCTGCGTCAGAAACAAGCGTGGAGCTTTTCGTGCGAAAACAAGGGCAGAGTTTTGTACATCAGTCTGCCGGGAAAATAATGATCACAATGTCTTTGCGCCAATAACGTCGCCGAAGTGAAAAAAAAAATTGATTTGCCGCGACACAATTCATTTTCTCGGCAGCGGTGCAATTTTTGGTGCGACGGAGTGCCCATTATTTTCCCGACAGACTGATATAACTATACATACATAAAAAAGTGAATTCCACTGTTTTCAGATGGGAGTCAACGTCATTCTCAGCTTCACAGCCCTGTTCCATCCCCTCTCCGAGTTTGCGGACGAGTTCTTAACCTCCGCCGCGGCAGAATATCAACTTTCGGCGGTTCAGCGGGCCCTCCAGTATTCGCTCTACATCATTGACCATGTCGCCATCGTCTTTCTGCATATGAAATTTTACATTTTGTCGTTTGAGCGGGTGTTTGCGTTCCGTCGGAGGACGGTGTACGAGCATGAGGACAACAATTTGCCGTTCAGAATTTTGATGTTTGTTGTAGGTGGAGAACATTTTTCGAATTGTGTTCATTTTTTCCCGACGGAGTCATATCTTCCTAACGTCTAATATATGTAAATTCGCTTCAAATTCAGTAAAACCTAAGCGTAGCACTTCCCCAAAAAATCAAACTTCTCACATAAATATGTCATTATTTTTTTCAGGCATCATTCGTCCTGCTCGAGCTGGTCGCGAAACTGATTTTTTACCTAAATTTCGATGTCAGCGGTACGAGAGACGAACGCATACTCAAAGCGTTGAGCATATGGAAATCACCTTCATTTTTCATGTTCTCCTACGCCCTGTACTTCTCGTCGGTGGCGGTTGGAATGATCGTATGTTGTGCTAGTTTTGACGTGCCTTTCTAAATTTTCAAATGGTCTTCTACAATGGTGACGTGAAGCAACCCTTTTAAAATTTTCCAAACACATTGTGTAAAGGCCACGTCTCAATTCCTAAAAATTTCCGCTTGCGCTTTGCAAGAATAGCCAGGATACAGTGGGGGACCAGATCCAGTGGCAAAACACGTACCATTTTGCATCCAGGAAGCATCAAAAAATATGGCAAAATATCTCCCTCTCAAAGTGAAAATACTCAGAGTTCAAAAGCGCGCCCGCTCTTTTTGTTAGGAAAAAAGGCGCGCCCTTCAAAACGAACTTGTTCCACTTGGAGAGGGAAGCATTTTGCCACATTTTCGATACTTTCCGGATGCAAAATGATATGTTTTTTGTCACTGGATCAGGTACCCCACTGTAATAGCTGATAATCTCTCGTTTATCCTTCAGTTCTTCAACAACATTGGCCGCGTCCTGCGACACTATCGATACCACAGTCAGAGTTTGAGCGAGAGCTTCGAGATTCACCAGACGGAAAAGATCTCCACGATTATGTGGCCGGTCCTCAAGGTTTGCTTGTATGTGGGATGCGTGTCCACTCCGTCTCTGATTGTCTGCATTCACCAGGTCTTCTTCTTCAACGGCTCGGCGGCTTGGCAAAGCGCCTATGCCATGTGTGTTCGGGTAGGCGATTGTGTCATTGGTCGAGTCGAGGCTTCCACTATCATCCGTCTGTCTGGAAAATAATGAACAAAGTCGCTGCGCCGGATGTGTCGCTGAAGTGAAAAGCAATTTGATTTTGTCGCGACACAATTTATTTTCTCGACAGCGGCGCGATTTCTCTGACAGAGTGCTCATTATTTCCCCGACAGACTGATAAAACTTGGCGAGTCATTTTAGATAATGTTTTTTTAGGTAGACTACTTTATTGTGGCGATCTATACGTTTTTCTCTTTTTTATACGCTTTCCACAAGTTTGGAGTCCTGCAGAGAAGTCGGGTATGTTTTTGAGGACGTTAACATTCACTGATTTGGCGCTACAACTTTCCGGCTCGTTGGCATTAGGGGTCAACACTGTTCGTCTATATTTTGACTGATATAATAGAAAACTTTATAAAAATATTTATTAGTCGGATAGTTGATCACTTTTTAAGTCTTCATCAAGTCTCCGCCAAGCTCTTGCTGACGGGAGCTTTCAACGGTCTCTTCCACTTTTTTGTCCACTTTGGCGTTCCGTATCACTTTTTTTATGTGTATCCGCCTGTCCTACGCCTCGTATCGATCGGTTTTCTGTTCACCCAAACTGTCGCTTGCCCGAAAAGTCATAGCGACAAATCAACGAGTTGAAAAGGGGTTATGTTGGAACAATTCAAGACAACGCTTCCAGTTGACTTTACAAGATTTTTTGGCCAAACCTATAGAAACATTTTTCCAGGACCACTACGTAGCTGACTCCCACTCCACAACAATCATAGATGCAGCGAAAAAAGGCCAAGACGACTATTTCAAGATTCTCCAAGCGTCCTGGGAATGCCGCGAAAAGATTCCAACGAAACTACGCTTGTAAACAACCAAAACGGAATCGAAAAAACTGAACGTTCTGCTAATGTTTTTTTTTTGAAAATAAAAACATTATTTATATGCACACCTGAAGCGTAGGGTGGTAAGATTGAAGTATGTAGTGCTTACTGTGGCACAATAAATGCATTTATTATTTACTAATTCACATTAGAATTCGACGGGTTTCCACATGGTTTATCTCGTGTTTTAAACCACAAAAGATTGTAAATTTTACAGTATAACATACAATTTTTAGTTTAATAACATTTATCGTGGCTAGAAAATTTTCGACACGCTGTGTTACGTGTACAATCTGCATCTTAAGCACTATTATAAAAGGCGCACACTTTCAAATTTTTTTGCTTCTATTGCGTCTTGATGCCAACCTGAATAAAGGCATTTGTCACAGCTGTGATACAAAGCCGTTGTTGTAGCCCGCCCGTACTTCTATAGGTATAAACAAGTCTCATTGCATTTTCAGGGAGCGGCAGGAAAAACATAACTTTTTTTCATAAAACTTGACGCGAAAACATTTGCGTGCGGCTGGATGACTCTTTTTCTATCAAATTCTTGGTGTTCTTCTGTTCTTATTTTAATAACCAGTTGCATGGCAACATCCGACTCAGGGCGGCCAAACTCCCCTGAGCCTGATGTACCTGCTTCAGACATGTTTTGACTTACCTTGGGCTGTTCCGTTTGTCTTTGAGTAGGCCTGGCGCTTCCTCGGGTTATGACATTAATCATCAGAGTGCTGGAAGCGTGCGTGAGTCTTCTGAGTGCTGGAATGTATTCAGTCTTTGAGTCGGGCTCACCTTCGTTGGCGGAGTCCACATCTGCGGAGCTTGAGAGAGATTGCATCTCCTCGGAGATTAGACAGGAAAGACCATTAACAGAATTAGACGATTCATAAACCTGAGTACTCATCTCCGCAGAGAACTGCCTTGGACGGCATAAAATACAATAAAACATATCATTCAAAAATCCTGTAAAATTATTCAAAGCCCTGTAAGATTCCCATTGAACGTTCGCAAAATGTCCCAAGAGTAATTCCCGATAGATGACCTCATAACCTGACCTGGGGGCGCGCCCATAAAATTCCCGTGTACTTCCCGAGAAGGGTGGAGTGAACTCGTCTCCTCAGAGAACAAAACGGGAACGGCCTTACAAGGGATCGGCAAATAATTGTAACCTGCTTTCTTAACGAAACCTATATCATTTGAAAGAGCATTAAAAATAATTCACAGCGCAAAAGAATTAGCTGCCTAAATTCACTTTGGACAAAGTTATGGCCAAAATACAGATTTTAGCCTAATTTCCGCCTCGCTTTATAAGCTCTCGGAATGGCAACAGATTTGTGTCCAGTTGGCCGAGTGGTAGTGAGCCCACTTTCGGCGCAGCGAGTCCTGGTTTCGAATCCGGTTTCTGTAAATATTTTGCGTTTCGTGTCTTATATGCCACAAAACCATGGTATGTTGACATTTTTTAATAATTTTTGTTCCTCTGCAGACAAAATCCATGGTTACGCAATTTTTCTGAGTTTTTGAATTTTTTTGAAACGACCACAAATTTGATGGTGATGAGAGTGGGTATGTCACTATCGTATAATTACAAGGGTGTTGTGCCAGTAACCTGACCGATTATGATTACTGGAGGATAATTCAATTTACAAGGGCCTATAAATATACATTTTATCAAAAAAATACGAAGATAAAATTGTAAAATCGGCCAAAGACACTATTGCTGACACACTGGACCAATCATTGGTAAGGCTAGGACATAAGAAATTTTCGATTTTGAAATTTTCGTTTATGAATGACCACGACGATCATATAAATGTATTTCCAAAGCTTTTTGCTCCAATTTTCCCTTTAACCTAGTTTTATTTACAATTTACTGTAACAAGCAGTAATGTCTAATAACATATAACCGAGGATTGGTAAAGCCATAAAACGACCGTGATAGACGTTTTTGGATACCAGGAAATTAATAAAGACGATTTCAAACCGCCAGGATTACTGTAATATAAGGAACCGGCGTTTTGGCCGCATATAACCCCTTTCAAAAAGCGGTCGTATCTATGCCCTAAGGTAATTTAGGCAGCTATTTTTTTTGCGCTGTGCACTATTTTTAATGCTCTTTCAAATGATATAGGTTTCGTTAAGAAAGCAGGTTACAACTATTTGCCGATCCCTTGTCAATCACCTTTTCCGTTGTGCAGTGGAATGTACAGTATGCGCTTTTCGCCTCCGCAGAGACATGGACTGGGGGTGCCGCCGGTCCACCATTGCACTAACCTATAAATTTAAAAACCTATAAATAGTCAGTTTTTTGTGCGATGGCTTACTGTGCAGCGTTGCACGGGGACGAGCAAGTTTAGTTTTACGGGACATCCGTCTGTCGGGATGATAGTGGCGGATCGTCGCGCCTTGGAATCGCCCATCACCGCTCCGCGATCGGCCAGCCGCAGGAAAATTCGGTGTGCCACTGTTGCCGATAGAACATTTCGCTGCGACCACTCGCCACTATTTTCCCGGCAGACTGATGGTACAAACTGTGGTGTAGGATCAAAAGTAGATAGGTAGAAGATAGTAGACACAAGATTTAGGATAAGGTTTATTGACACCACCGCACACAAGAAAAAGAAATGAGATTAATCATGATAATTGGTGACGAGACATAGCTTTTGTATGACTTGGTTTATGCTAATTTCTGTGGGAATTGTGGAGGTTTTTGAGGCTCCACAACACAAACATGCGTTTTCCAAAGCTTCCGTGCAACGGCATAATTGCTTATTTCTCTCGTATTGCACCTATACGTAATTCCTTTACCTGCCTCCTTGTTTTCTCTCACTCAAAATTACTTCCAGACAATTCAATCGTCCAAAATACTCGAAATGTGCCTTTTGCCTCATTAAAGGCCATTTGAAGGGCATTCTCGCGATGTAAAGTCGCAAACGTATTGCGTGACCGTAAATACTGTGGCAAAATCCGTGAATATCGGCAAAATTTTGCCCTATCCGAGACATTCCGAGCCGAAATTACAAGATGGATGACGCACCGACGCCGTTTCTGGACGTGTTTGGAAGCCTGTTGATTGCCGGCGAATTGTCATGCGGAATATCGATCTTTGTTGTGAACATTCTTTATCTGAAGAAGTTTTGGCAAATGGAAACGTTTCATGAGAGTTTTCGACAAACCTTTGTAAGTTATTTTTATTAAATAAGGTTGAACGTACGCCTCTACTCGTCGGGTCGACGGCAGTTCGGGTCAACACAAAATCGATCGATACGGGGCGTAGGGCAGGTGGAGGCCAAAAAAAGGTTGTAGAAAGTGCCTACGAGGTCTGGCAAAGCCGTTGGATGGTCGGCGGACGCTCGGCGAAGGCTCGACCGAGATTTGGCGAAGAATTGCGATATGCATCCTGTTTCGCTGTATCCTTCGGCTGTCCCTGGAAAACTTGGCATTTGATAGGTGTCCTATTGCGCAGGGGCCAGTTTTATCACTGGCGATGCGTCGTTTTTGCTGTTTTTCCGGCGACACGCTCCAAATTTCTTTGCAATGCGAACTGGGGTTTGGAGTGACTGCGATGGAAGGGTGCGCAGGTCAGACTGATATGTTCGACGTGTGTAGAAAATTTAAGGAGAATCTGCGACGATCCCTTGTGCGTCTCTATGCAGAAAATATGTTTCAGATCGGAGTCAACTTTATCCTCAGCATGACATCCATCTTCCATCCTCTATCCGACCTCTCCGACGACATAGTCTATGTGTGCCGGGATGGAGCACCCACATGCCTGCGGCAGGACTTAGTTTTCACTCTGCAATACGTGTTGTACTTTATTGACCATATTGCCATCGTATTCTTGCACACCAAATTCTTCATTCTGGCGGCCGAACGGGTCTTTGCATTCCGTCGCCGCGCCTTCTACGAGTACGAAAAGAACAACATGGCGGTGAAGATATTGGGGTTCTCGGTGAGCTCTAAAAAGCTTGCAAAGGTTTATCTTTTCAGTTGTCCTTCGTATGCCTTGAAATCCTGATCAAGACCGGGTTATACTATGAATTCGACACTGATTCACCACTGAAACTCCGGTTGGAGAAAGGGATCGGCTTATGGAAGTCGCCCGCTTTCATGGTCTGGTCGTATCTCGAGTTTTTTACCTCTATGGGGGTTGGGGTTGTGGTAAGTTAAAGGCGGAAGCAATAAGGCAATTCCAAGACGCAACAAATCCACATCATTTCCCCAACAGACTGATAGTAAAGCTCATTAAGATTCCACTTTCAGTTCTTCAACAACATTCCGAGGATCTTACGGCATTATCGACAAAAAAGCAGGAGCCTCAGCGAGAGCTTCGAGATCTACCAAACGGAAAAGATCTCCAAAATTATGTGGCCAGTTTTACAGAGTTATATCTTGGTCGGCGTTGCCTGCACTCCAACGCTGTTCATTTGCATTAAACAGGCGTTCTTCAACGACGGCTCAGCGTACTGGCGAAAGGCGTATCGGGTCGGGTTGAGGGTGAGTCATCGTCTCGAGTTGACAAACAAGTTTTTTAGGCGGACTATTTCTTCGTTGCGTGGTACACACTGTTCTCACTGACCTATGCCTTCTACAAGTTTGGGATCGTATTTGGCAAGCAGCAATCGCAGATTGTGCCGGTCGAAATGTTCGACTTCAAGAAGGTGACGGACATTCACTTCAACACGCTAAAGCAATGCTGGTCTGATGATGGTAATGGCGAGGACATCAAAATTTTCTCGTGACTAGTGATTGAGATATTGTAAAATTTTTGATGATTTTTTATTGGATACGGATTTGCTTCTGCTAAAAATCTCCTTGTGAGTATCGTGATTACACTGTATAAATCTGGGCCTTGCGCTCTCGTCAATCTTGTCAAAATAGTTTATTCGATGAAACCCGTAGTTCTTTCATACACCAACAATGAGATAGATGTGCTACCCCAGTAATTAGGCACAACATTACATAGTTAATCGTGTGTCAATAACGACGAATCACATCGATGATTCGTACCCGCACCATGCCCTGTTTTTTGTCCTCGCTCGAATCCAACGCCTTCTTTTCGTCGTCGTTCCGTTTGTAGCTGACCTAAAATTTTATATTTTGTATTATTTTGCAGCAATTTTTTATAGCATGCCCACACGTGTGCAACAAGCTTGATGAACGATATGAAATCTTGGAAAAACGATTTTTTTGAGCTACAAACAAATAGTTTTGTAGACTGTACTGAAGTCTGAAGTCGATATAACATAGGCCGTCCGTAAGGCGCTGGAGCGTCTTCCCGCGTCCCGGTTTTTCGTGTCCACGACAGTCCGGGTCAAGATAAAACCGACCGACACAAGGCCTAGAACCGACATAGAGCCACAAAAAAAGATAGTAGGAGGTGCCTACGAGGCCTATGAAAGCCGCTGAATCGCCGGCGGACGTCCGGCAAAGGCTCGGCGGAGACTTGGCAAAGGCACTTGCAATATGTCCACTTTTCTATTTTTAGCCATTGCTAACGTTAGTTTTCTCTACCCTAAGTTATTTTAACATATAAAAGACCAAAATTTCTGGCAAAAAATAGAAGAGCCGTGACTTTTATCTGGATATTGTTGATGTGGGTACATGTAAAATACCTCAAAATAGGTGATAGACTATCCTAGGACCTGATGAATCTTATTATTGCTACATACTAACTAAGCCTTTTCCAAGACTTCCCCATGCCTACAATGACAAATTGAGGCACCCCAATGTAACGTCGACTCGAACTGTTGACTCGAAAAACCGTAGCGCCATTTTTTTGCAATATGCACTATGAGAAATGAAAAGTTCCCTTTTTGCACAGTGCATGTCGCCAAAGCCACTCCAGCGACTTTGTAAAGGACCAGCGCAGAAATCAACTCATCCTTACGTACATCCCAAGCGCTGTTCATTTGCTGGAAGTAGGCGGACGTCTGCGGTATCACAAATGTAGGTCCTGGTGGGACGAGTCTGTCAGCCACGTTCACACTAACGAATTTGAGGAGATCTCCGCGAACAATCGTCCTTACGTACTGATGCTTCAGCATGAAGAAGACCATGACGAAAACAACGCATATGTCGACGTTGAAGAAACTTAACTGCAAAGTCAGTATTGAAAATTAGAAAATTGTGCTGTATTGGCACTCTGCAAAGTTCGAGCTTGGTATCATGTGTATATATTTGAAAATACTTTATGTAAAATTGTGCCAATTTTGTCAAAATCCGAGCTTTAGAGGACCTCCCTTGTCAGTAATAAATGTCACATGAAAAACTGAAAAAAACTGAAAAACCACTTACTTCAGTCAGCAACTTGTTCAGCGTGCTATCCGTTCCGATTCCGCCAAAAATTTCCCATCTGGCCAACGACAGGAGAATGCCGTCCAGACAGGTGACGACGTACGCAACCGCAATTCGTCGGAGAATTGCGGACGAAATTAAAATCTCCTCGCTCAGAAGCCGCACATTCAGCGAGACGGTTCCCTTGAAGCTGCGAAATCGATTGGCAGCATTGCTGTTTTGGCGGAGTTGGGCCTGAAATTTAAAAGCGGATATTGTTTTACTGTTGGCATGTATTAAAACATGGATCTTTTGTGCTGGAGCGTAGCTAGGGGAGAAGGGAATGGAGAGGTGAGTACCCCGCTGTGAGGCGGAACGACCGAGCTTCGAGGATTTTCCCACGAGGAACGATCTGCATTTATTCAAATTTGACCGTACTTTCCTACGTGGGGCATGCATATAAAAGGCCTCCTTTCCACTGAATAAATCGATTGGCTCTTGAGCTGTCGTCTTGTCTCGTTACTGGGTCATCAGGCCTTTTGACACCCTCGTCTAAGGACGGGGTCGAAGGAAAACATGGTAAGGGGGACCAAGGTAACCGTAAGCGATTTTTTTACATGGTGACGCACGTCAAACTGAGATAAGCTAAAACAGTCCGGTGAATGAATCGGCAATTTGCCAAAAAAAGACGCGAAAAACGTTTTGTCGGGGGAGAAATGGGGAATTTTTGGGGCGAGAGAGTACGCTTTTGCGTGTCTTTTTTTCTCTCTTTCTCTGGTAATCAAGACGAAATGTAAAAAACCGATAGCGAAGGGTCTATTCCGGTCACCTGACTCCTCAGTTTGACGTGTGACGCCCCTCCCCCAGTCAGGGGTGTCACCATGTAAAAACTTTCCCCCAGAATTTTCGGCCTTTTACGCCTCTTTATACGGTCAAAACTATCCAAGTCTGCCGGGAAAATAATATGGATTTGTGACGCCGTAGACTCGCCCAACATGGCTTTGCGACGTCTAGCCGTGGCTGGAGATTTGGGGTGCGACTTTATCAGTCTGTCGGGAAAATAACGAGCACAATGTTGCAGCGCCGATCTCGTCGTGAAGTGAAAAGCAATTTGATTTTGCCGCGACACAATTCATTTTCTCGGCGGCGATGTGATTTTTGATGCGACAGAGTGCTCATTATTTCCCCCGACTAACTAATATTTTCATGTGTAACTTACCAACGCACCACCAACACATCCGACGAATCCAAATGAGAAGGCAAAAACGGTGGCTGGTATGTTTTTCTCCGCTGCTAGAAATGTCTGTGTCGCCGGGTCCGCGTCGTAGACAATGTACCTGGCCGCACAAAAATAGCAGAAGGCGCCGCCACCTGCAATGGCCGCCGTTATCTAAAATCGATGCAATAAAGGTCAATTTTTCATTGGGATGAGAAAGAGGGAAGTTAAATTTTTCACCACTTTAAGATGTGATAAAAAGTGGAAAGCTCAAAACCCAACATACCAACAGAAACACGATCGACAATGGTCGCTCTTCCTCATAGTAGGAGTGAACGTGCCTCACAGCAATTGATCGCTCCAGTCCCATCATAAAAACCGAAACCACCAGCCCAATAATGCAGATGAAATGAATGTAAGAGAGCGCACAACAGAGATAGTTCAGTTCTCTGGTCTTTAGGATGGCGGTGTGAGCCAGATTGAGGGTTGCCGTCCGCGACATGTGCAAAAATAGCGCGAAGATCACGGCTGATGTCTGAAAAAGATGGACTTGTCAAAAAGAAATGACGCCAAATATTTGTGTTGAAGTTGCCGTTGAAAAAAGAACTCTTCAAACGGCCGCTGACGAAATCGTGAGGCTTTTCGAGATCTTGCGATAAAATATCAGTCTGTCGGGAAAATAATGAGCACTTTGCCGCATCGAAAAGCCGCCGAAAAAATGAATTGTGCCGTGGCAAAGTCAAATTGTTTTTCACTTCCGCGACGCGGTCGCCGCAGCGAAATTGTGATCGTTATTTTCCCAACAGTCTCCTACCAATAAAAAAGCAAAAAAATTACGGCGGCATTCTACCATTCTTGCCGGAAAAGTCCCTTAGGCAAAACGGTCCGCAAAAAAGGGGTTTTCTTAAGCCCTTCATTATTTTCCCGACAGACTGATAAAGCAGTGTTCTGCAAGATAGTCAAAATTGATGGGTGCATCTTCGCCAGTTCCGTGCCGAAAAAAATCATTGTTTTTGTGTGAACGCTCACCTCTACACTACAGAAAATCTCAGATGAAAACTGGCAAAAAATCCTCATTTTTGCCAACTATTGGCATAAAAATCTCGTTCGTCTCTGCAAAGCGCAAGCTAGCAGTCTCGAATAGGCCTTAGAAAGAACCGTTTTAAATTTGCGCCAAGTTTCATCAAAATCTCAGCGTCGCACTTGTAGCACTCAACTTATGAGTGTAACGGTAACTAAGGAGACCCATTTTTGCAAACCTACCACAACAGTTTTAAAGTTGACATGCAATTTCGACGCCCTCTTTATCAGTGTGCAAAAATACGCGGTAATCGTCCATTGGAGTACAAATCCGACTGCATGTACGAGCTTGACGGCAAAAAACACTGCCTCGTAGTCGGTGATCTCTGATTGCGGTATGTCGATGCCCACGAAATTGTAATTCGATACCAAAAATGACATATACCTGCAATATGAAAGATAATTCCTTTGAAATGGCCAAAGATCAGTCTGTCGGGAAAATAATGTGGAATTGTCGCTGCAATAGTGCGACGAATCTCGAGCTGTGGCTAGCTGTCGCAAATCGATTATGGGCGATTTTAAGACACGACGAATCCACATTATTTTCCCGACAGACTGATAATTAAAATCCACATTATTTTCCCGAAAAACTGATAATGAAAATCCACATTATTTTCCCGACAGACTGATAATGAAAAACCACAATATTTTCCCGACAGACTGATAGTGAAAATCCACAATATTTTCCCGGAAAACTGATAGTAATCGCAAAAAATACGGCAACATATTCATAATTGTATTCGTCAAGTTTCGCAAAAATAAAAAGCTTTGAAGTAACACAAAATTCGCCAGCACTTCTCACAATTTCACGGCCTGATATTAGCGCTGAACATTAAAAATTAAAAAAACTATTAAAAAACTAAAAAAACCTGACGATTTTTGTGAAACACTCAAATAGTTCTGGTTTTCGGTAACAATGGACAGATGTTTTTGGAACATACGGCTTTTGCCTTCAAAGGCCACGTCAAGTCATTCATTGTCAATCAATGTGTTGACTGTAATCTCAGGGAAAAAATATTATGAAAGCGGCTCAGTTCGAAAAGTCGCTGTATTGATTTTCGCGCAAGCAAGGAGGCTCGAATATAGGTGGTAGAAAAAGCAATGACAAATTTTTGCCATGTTTCATCAAACCTTAAGGTCGAAGGGTACTTCCTTGTTGTCAGTATGTGGGGAAAATATCAGTCTTTTGGGAACAACGGCGGGTCGTCGCAGCAAAATGTCTCGCCTCATCGCAATCGCGCACCAAAATCCCAGCCGCGGCTTGAAGTCGCAAAGCGATGATATGCGATTCCAAGGCGCGGCGATACGCCGTTATTTTCCCGACAGACTCATAATCAAAAAACTCTATGTTTTTAGGCAACATTGATAAAAATACATCATCCGATACAATGTAAAAAAAGACATGAAACTTGACGATCTTTGCAACCGACGATGGAGCAAACAAACATCGTTATTACCTACAGTAATAAATAAAGAAACCATAAAACCAAGGCCAAATATGATTAGCGACTCTTTAACTTTCCTATGTTTCCATAACCTATCAAATTAGCCCTCACCGAATCTCCGGCAAACAAAATGAGATTACGCTACAATGGAAAAGAGTGGTGGGCAGAGTCAAGTGCGGGAAGGAAAAGAATAACAGCTGGAGCTGGAAATGTCTAACCATGACGGAACTTACAACGTTTCCAAAGGTTTCGCAGTCACAACAACACCAAGACATAGGTTCAAAGGCATAAAGGGGTCTAACTAACGGGTGTAACTTACGGTTTTAGCCACTCAAAAGTCATGTAAATTACCGTACTGACCTAGGCGGGGCCGTAGGCCAAGGGCTTAGCTAGGGGGAGGGGGCAGGTTGTACCCCCTTCCAGGCCGAGGCCGAAATAAAAAATATAGCAAAGGGGGACCACAGTAAAAATTTTTTGCACAGCGAAGGTCTTTGCCTCGGGGCAACGCCATTTCCGGGCCCGGCCGGTCCGAGTTTTCTTGAAATGAAAATTTGACAGTATGCCATATTCTATAATTACCACAGTTTACAACTTTTTATAGTGCCTTTAAGCCTCTTTCACACATGTTATATGTAATTTGTATATAAATTCAAAAATTAAAAGATATATTACTGTAAATTGTAAAAATAATTTATAGCAGATAGTGGCACCCCAGAAAAGGTAAGACCACAGAAAATTTGGCAGTTCCCACCCCAACCGGGATATATACTTTTGATGCAGACCAGCCCTGGTTTTTGCCCAGCCGGTCCTCGGGCTTGAAACTTGAAAAACCAAGCCCGTTTGTCACCCCTGACTGCCATTCGTACAACTGCTGACTCCAAATTCATTTACTCGTTTGCTAAGAATTGTTTGCGGAATTGTACCGTGCTTTTCCCACTTAAACCCATTAGTGTTAAGAGAGTTTGCTAGTTTTAAAGAACCGTATGAGATAATCCAAAGTTCACGAGGGTATATTATAACTGCAAAAGTGAACAGGTTTATGTTGAAGATGCTCATGGCGCGGCGATATTTTGAAGTCAATTGACACAGGTTTGATTAAATTTTATGAGAATAATAAGACGTATGCTCAATGAGAACAATGTCGCTGCGTCGGTCGCGCTGAAGTAAAAAGCAATTTGACTGGCGGGCGCACACTTGCGGGCAACCACTTTGCGGGCAACCAGTTTGCGGGCAAATTTTTTGCGGGCAGCCACTTTGCGGGCAGCCGACATTTGCGGCCAGCACCGGCATTTGCGGGCAGCCTGGGACATTTGCGGGCAGGGTCGACAGTTGCGGGCAGCCTGGAAGATTTGCGGGCAGCCGACATTTGCGGGCAACCGAGACCTGATTGTGAGGGTAACAGAATGGAGGGGGAGAATTACTATGATATTTTGGAAATTTGCCGACATTTGCGGGCAGCCGACATTTGCGGGCAACCGGCACTTGAGGACAACAAGGTGGAGGTGGAAAAATTACTGCAATATTTTGGAAGTTTTCCGACATTTGCGGGCAGGCAATACTTGCGGGAAGCCGACATTTGCGGGCAACAGTTCCAAAAGTACCAATACAGTCTGTGTGATTGTTTTTTTCCTGTTGCCCGCAAATGTCGGCTGCCCGCAAGTGTCGGTTGCCCGCAAATGTCGGCAAATTTTCAAAATATCGCGGTAATATTTCCATCTCCACCCTGTTACCCTCAGGTGCCGGTTGCCCGCAAATGTCGGCTGCCCGCAAGTGTCGGTTGCCCGCAAATGTCCCAGGCTGCCCGCAAATGTCTCAACTGCCCGCAAATGTTTCAGCTGCCCGCAAATGTGACCCCCAAATTTTGCCCGCAAAGTGGCTGCCCGCAAAAAATTTGCCCGCAAACTGGTTGCCCGCAAAGTGGTTGCCCGCAAGTGTCGCGACGCCATTTGACTTGGCCCCGACACGATTCATTTTTGATTTTTGATGCGACAGGTCCATTATTTTCCAGACAGACTGATACGACTAAAGCAAGATATATCGCAATTGTTCCAACATACGTTATAACACATTAAAATTTTTTGTAGCAGCTTGAAAATTGCGATAACGCGTTTACTGATCCCCCGCTTGACTACATAACATCTATTTTCCCTACTCTCTCAAAAAAACCCTTCCATAACCGTAAAGACCCAGCCTCTTCCTAGGAACGGCTGTTTTGCCTTAGCCTTTCCATCTATAGACCAGCACGGCCACCTGATGTCTGGCTGGCATAGCAATGTAAAAATGACAAATGAAACACACGTATGGCCTGCTCATTCATTGTTCCTTTACTGGCATTAAGTCGGGTTGACGTTGAAATGTTGGAGGGCCTTGAACTCCTCGAAAAGTGGCGTGCTATTCAAGAGTGGTTAAAGTTATTCACGGATTCCAACCTTCAAAATTTTTGCTTTTGCACGCAGTATCATTTCTGCCCAAATTGCCATGAATGCATACGAGGATGATAAGAATTAGGCTGCATCTTTACGCAAAAAGTCCTTAGAATTTTTAAACTTCATAGTAAACTTCAAATGGTTGACAAAACACCCACTTGAAAATCATAATCAAAGTGCGGCTCGGCTACAAAAAACATCCAGAATACAATTACTCATTCTGTATTTGTTTTTTATATCTTCAAACAGCACTGAGTTTCATAAGAAGTTTTAATGGCTTTCAGCTTCATTCGAAAGGCAGACATGTGAAATAAGGAAAGCCTGAGGAAAGTCGAAGCTGGACGGTTATATGTAATACAGTGGGGACCTGATCCAGTGGCAAAAAACGTACCATGAGGCATCCGGGAAGTATCAAAAATGTGGCAAAATACCTCCTCCTCCAAGTGAAAAAAAAACTCCGATTTCGCGCCCGCTCTTTTTGTGAGGGAAAGGGCGCGCCCTTAAAAACAAAGTTTTTTTCACTTGGAGAGGGAAGCATTTTGGCACATTTTTGATCCTCCCCGGATGCAAAATGGTACGTTTTTTGCCACTGAATCAGGTCCAGCAGTGCGGACCAAAAATGGCTCGGCTCTCAAGCCGGGTTGGGCCTAAAATCGCGGACTGGAAAGGCTGGCCCGCCCGGCATCTCGCAGTATTATTAAAAACGACAATAAAGGCTGCCAATTTCCAACTTTACACATTGTTTTTGTGATTATATACAACACTTTTCCCTTTCGTTTGTTCCTTTTTAGAACTACAAAACTTTGCTTTCAGCTGCCCAACTCAACCCGATAATGTCAGCCACGCGTGTCGAAAATGTTGGGCCCGGCCCGTTTCAAATTCGGTTCAGCTTACCCACGGAATGCTCAAAAAGATAGCTAAATCAAGATACTATCGTTATGCACTTTCTTCATAATGCGGTCTATCGGGAAAATTCCTTGAAATCGCCCATCATCCCTTTGCAACCGCAGCCGGAAATTTGGTGCGAGACTGCTCATTTTTTCGACGGGGCGAAACAGTTTGCTCCGACGACCCACCACGATTTTCCGACTGTGATTTCAAGCAAAGTCGGAATGCGAGTGGCACCCGAAATAAGGCCTATTGCTCAGCACAGTGCATAAAGCGAGAACTTTCATTTTTTTCGCATAGTGTATGGAATTCCGTTCTTTTTTCTCCCTGGAGAGCGGTCGGTTTTTCCTGTCCACCATGCCGTTGCGGGCACAAAGGGCTTCGTCTGGGACAGTAGCTGTTCATCGTAATGGATTTCAAGTTCATATTGTGCAAAACTCACACCAGCGGCCTCGCGAACGGACTTGCAGTCGGCCGGGAAAACCGTGTCGATCGTCGCAGCAAGGAGCTCGCCTCATCGAGAAAAGGGCACAGTAACGTAATAAATCTCCAGCTGCGGCTAGCCGTCACAAAGTGATGATGGGCGACTCCAAGGCGCGACGTTCCGCCACCATTTTCCCGACAGACTGTGAAGAGCGTCTCTCCTTCTGCTACAGCAGTAAACCGCTTCAACGAAAAATCGTTTTTGATAGCCTTGTCACCTTCCCCATTCTTCCACCCAGAAATTACACGGTCTAATTCTATTTCCAGTTTCTTCGAAACCCCTAAATTACTTGCCAATATGCACAAAACATGTGAATCTATGTACATGTTAAAGCACCTAATTGCGAATTTGATTACTTAATTATTCACCTTCAACAATAAGGTTTACTAAAACAATGTCTGGTATTGTGCCTCAACATTCCATGAGATATGTTCGACTTTATTGCATTTCCGCATAAATACACGTAACAACAGATATGTCGTCTAGAAAAAGTGGAATAAATACGAGGAAAATACGGTGGTCACAGGTTCTTTCGGCCATTCTCTTTTTCTTTCTGGTCCTTTTCCTCTATAGAACTGGTCTCTTCATCTTCGTCCAGAGTGGCGAGATTTACCGCTGAAAAGATGAGGTAAGTGTTCGACGTGTAGGTATCAGAGATAGCAGGCTGTCGGGAAAATAATGAGCACTCCAGACAGACTGATAAATATGAAGAAACAAGGGGAAATGTTTTCTAATCGTACCATATGGCGGTCACGTTAAAACTGCGTTCATTTGCAGCTGTTTTTTGTAGTTTTTCAATTTTTTTGAAGCTTTTAGCAAGCTCGTATCAGCTATTTTTGCACCGAAAAACATTAGCAAAGTAATCGCAAAGTAACCGCGCCAGTACTCACGGCGCGATTTTTAGCGTGAACCGGGGGTGAGGATCCGCCGCAAAATAAACGCCTACCTCCGGCAGTCGTCCCTCGTCGCTCTTTTAGTCGTTTTATGTCGTCCTCCGTGAGCTGAACGCCGGCTTTCTCCAAGTCTTCAACTGTCGGTTGCACGGACGAAGAATATGTTCGACTTAGCCTGAAAATGGAAAAAAACTTTGAATCTTTTTTACGAAAAGTGTTTTTAAACCATATAAAAATTATTTATAAGGTGACGAAACCTTATAATAAATAAATTTATTTTACCCCCTTACCTCCTCTGTACTTGCTGCTTCAAGTTGCGCAGGCCCTGGTTGACGCTCGAGATGCTGCTCTTCCGATGGTCGGGGTTCGCTTCGTCCACCACCAATTCGGAGGCGGACCCGATTAGAGGATGCACCTCGACCTTGCCGCTAGTCACGTCTAGCGCGCGATCGCCGCTTCCGAACATGTCGCGGATTTGAACTGGTACGCACTTTCGACAGTCGTCCACAATGGCGAGACCAATCTGAAAAATGTTGGGAGGTGGGATAAATTTTTAAAATATAAAATACCAAAGGAATTGAAAACCGACTGCTTATTTTTACTGGACCGTTCGCATATCAGTCGGTCGGGAAAATAGCGGCGGCTAGTCGCGACAAAATGTCTCGCCTCGCCGCTATCGCGCACCAAATCCCCAGCCGCGGCTTTCCGTCGCAAAGGGATGATGCCCGATTCCATAGCGCGACGATGCCGTTATTTTCCTGACAGACAGATAGTCCAAACATGGCAGGGGAGCTGGGCCGTGCAAAAATTTTTTGGGCCAGGTCAGAGGCCAAAGAATTTTTCGGGCCCCTTGAGCCCAGCCTTTTATAGAAAAGAAAATTTCTTCAGTCGGGATGAAGAAGAAGAGTCGTTGATAAAATTGTAATTGAAGGTGGTAGATTGAGCCTGTTGGATATACAGGTACTATATATGCCGGGCCGAAGGTCTCACGGGGCAGGCCCATTTTGCCATGCCTGTTGAAGTCGCTGGAGCGATCTTTGGCGTTTTTATTACAGTGTAAACTGTGAGGCGGAACGACCGAACTTTGAGCCCGATTCCCCCGGAATCATGATTTATTATTCAAATTTGATTGTACTTTTCTACGTGGGATCTCCCTATATAAGGACCGCTTTTCACTCAGTAAATCACTTGAACTCGAGCTTCTCGTCTTATCGTGTGGTTGCCCGGGCCTCTCGACATAAACATTTCACTGTGCAGAAAAACTCGGGATGCCAGTGACAGCCCAAAAAAGCCTGTTGCACGGTGCAAGAAACAATAGATTACACAGTAAAAAGTGAAGTTTTGTTTTTGCACAGTGCATGTCGTCAAAATCACTCCAGCGACTTCACGGACGGACTAGTAAAAAATCAGTAACCTAAGGTTTGTTTAGAGCATAAAAAACTTACAGCCAAGTTTCTGTCGATGATGAAATTTGTTTCAAAGTCGTCGTCGTCCTCTCTAAAAAGCAAAAATAATATTTTTTTTTTAGCAAAAATAATATATTTTGTTTTCTCGCTAAACCCTCACCCCAACGGATTCAACAACGCCTCAGCCACCTTCAGCCATCCCATGCAGAAGAAGAATTGCAGCGCCGTCATAATCGGGATCACATTTTGGACGATCACGTACCATTCAGTGCTGAAGTCGGGCCTTGTTGTGTACTGCCTCGAAAACAGACAGATGATAAAGTAGACGCGCACGGCGAGAAATACGACTTGCGGATAGGCCAGCGGAACGGGTACCCAGTCGTAGTTCGTGAGCTGTTGCAAGTTTTCGCGGAAGGTTCGGAGCTCCTCAACAACGGAGTGACAGAACAAATCGCATGGGAAGTTTTGCTTCTCTCGCTGTTCCCGCACCAAATGATAGCACCAGTTGATTGGGACCCAATAGCGCGCGAAGCCATTGTCCAGACGGCGGAAGTTCTCCAGTTCGGATTTGTTTATAAAACCTGAAACAAAATTTAGTAATTTTTGTGTGTGTTATCCTGTCGGGAAAATAATGAGCACTCTGTCGCATCGAAAATCGCAACGCCGCCGGGAAAATGAATTGCGTCGCGGCCAAATCAAATTGCTTTTCACTTCAGCGGCACTATCGGCGCAGCGACAATGTTCTCATTATTTTCCCGACGGACTGACAAGGGAAATCACATTTTCCGGAAACGGACTTTGGAACGGGACTTAGTAGGTTTGAAACGTGAAGCGTCTGCGACCATAAAACTGATTCCCTCGGCCACCACTGCAGATGAAACAAGCTGTTTCTTTCGAGGAGGCGATACCCTCATTTCGGCTAAACTTTCCGGTCGCACGCCACGGTCATTTTCAACCGAAAAACACTGGTTTCGGGGTAGGAATGCCCCTACTTCAGATGGTCGTAGCGACCTTAGTTTTCACTTTAAAATCTTGATATTTTATAGACAAAAATTAATGGCGCTTAAAAATACGGATTCCAAAAACGAAGTCCCTGTGCCGCCTCCGCCGGAGGTTATAGCCTCCGACTTTCCAGGGCTTACCTGCTTCCACAATGGCTTCATAGGTCGGAAATCGCTTCCTCACCGGCACCGCAATATCTCTAAGCACCAAGATCTGAGACAAGCACATGTATCGGATGATGTTCCTTCGCACCGTCTTGTGATACGGATCCTCGCCGTCCATGTACGTGGCCAATCGCAACGCCGCGTTGTCGATGAAACCAATGTTGTGGAAGATGTGTTTCCATCGATCCACAACTATCGTCACAAAGAAACTAGAGTTAGAGTGTGACGTTTATAGGGACGTACAAGAGTGTGTGAGCAGTGAAAAGAAGAGAGAAGTCAACTTACCCAAGCATAAATTGAAGAGGAATCCAATCCAGTTGCTTGTCGAATTTCTGAGTCATTTCGAGGATACTACTGCAACAAAAAGGGTTGATTAAACATGTATCAGTCTGTCGGGAAAATAATGAGCACAAATTGAAATTTAGTGCCGCCGAAAAAGAATGGTGTCGCGGCAAAATCAAGTCTCTCCTCACTTCAGCGACACGGTTGGCCCAGCGGCATTGTGCACGTTATTTTCCAGACAGGCTGATAATTTTCAGTCTGTCGGCGTAGCCTGTAATTTTTCCACAAAAAATCGGTTCCTTTCCGCGCAAAACTTTCAACTTGATTTTGCCGCGACGCAATTCATTTTCTCGGCGGCGATGCTATTTTCGATGCAACAAAGTGCTCATTATTTTCCTGACAGACTTATATTGAACCTTTGTTCCCAACTCACAATCTATTGTCCTTTTCGAAGATCCTGATGAACCCGTAGCACACGTAATAGCCGATGATCCACCAACAAAACTCGCTGAGCACATTCTTCCAGATCGAGCCCTTCCATCGGAACATCAACTTGAGAAAGGTCCATGACCTCGACGATGACACATCCAGGTTGTACGAGACCGTCATGATACATGTATGTTGGTGTGCTTACTGAAAGAAGTGTGAATAAAAAAAAGAAGAAACTGTGATTTCGTCGTTTTTTATGGTTCGCAAACAAGCGATGTGCAATTGCTCAAGTTTGCCTGCAGTTAGACAAAAGGGCGTTTGTGGGAGGGTTCGAGAAACTGTTTATGGTTTTTGTAAGAAAAGGGATGACTTTTTTGTTGAGGATTTTAATGGACTTGAGGACGAACGGTATATGTTTCGTGTTAAGTCCTGGACTCTAGGCCTCAACAATCATGGATTTGCCGCAGAGACTCAAAAAAAGCCAACGGGAAATATCTGTATGTTTCTGACGAAATTCTCGGCAGTCTCTGAGGATCAGGAGAAGTCTTTGAAAATCCTCTCAAAACCCAAGCTTACACTCAAGTTCATGTTCGGGATATATGTAGAAAACCCTACGTTGAAGTTCAGGTCCAAAGTTTCGACGCTGCGGACAAACTATCAGTCTGTCGGGAAAATAATCGCAGCAAAATGATTCGCCTCGCGAAAAAAGGGCCCAGTTTAGAGGTGGCAATCGGGCCGGGCCGGGCCGATTTTTGCGGTCCGGCCCGCGGGCCGAAGCGATCAGGCCGGCCCAGGGCTTTTTCAAACTTGCTCAGGCCCGGCCCGGCCCGATGAAAGCCCAGGCCGGCCCGGCCTGGTTTGGCCCGCTAATACAGGGTGTCCAGAGAAATTCCGCGGAAAGTGTTTGCCGATTTCTCGGCGCTTAGGCAACATATCCAAAAAATTCTTTTTGTATTAGAAATAAGACTATGGGCGGTTTTTTGTCTGAAAAAGTTTTTTTGTCCGCCGACGCGGAACATACTGTATTCGGCGGAGACTTTTGGTAGCTTTTTTGGTTATCACACCAATCTTAAAAGCTTCAGTACGATTTCTGATGGTTGAAAACAGTATGTCATCTTATTTTTATGTTTATCAAACGTTCGGCAATGGAATGGCGAGCTTTCCGTATCGGCGGAGGCCACAACTCAGCTTCGGATAGGAGATGTCCCAAACATTATGTGGCTAGCATTCTTTGCTGATCCCATATGCTCTCCAAAATTTCGTCGCCAAGCCTTGGCAGCAGCTTAGCCATCGGTAAACGACTTGGTGTACCAGAAAACAACAAAATATTTTTTGTTTTAACTTCTCTTTGCCCCGCTGTTTCGAACCTCCGCACGGTGCGGTCGGACTTTATCGCTGTTGACGCAACTACACAGTGCGGTGCGGTCGCTAAATGCGATTGCATAGCGTTGTCGTCGGTCCCCTGATTCTTTGTGGAAAAAAGTTGAAGGCTCTCCGATAGTTTCAGGATCATAGTAAAGCGCTTAAGATTGGTGTGGTGACCAAAAAAGCTGCCAAAAGTCTCCGCCGAATACAGTATGTTCCGCGTCGGCGGACAAAAAAACTTTTTTAGACAAAAAACCGCCCATAGTCTTCTTTCTAATGCAAAAAGAATTTTTTGGATATCTTGCCTAAGCGCCGAGAAATCGGCAAACACTTTCCGCGGAATTTCTCTGGGCACCCTGTACAGAAAAGTTGGATAAAAGTCTTTGCACTTTCTACTGGAAGTTCTTATGATTTCCGGAAGGTTTTTACGTGTGTCTGCGTGAAATTAAAAAGTCTAGTCGAATGACTGGAACATCCGCAGAGGTAGCTAAAACCTAGCCAAAAAGTTGGATTGTGTTGAATTTTTTAATCCTATAGGAAATTAGCTATATAAAAGTATGGACGTTATAAGGTACATCTTTAACGAAAAACTGTTTAAACACTTTCATTTACATCAAGGAATCAAAATTACAGTGAAATCTTTAAATTTATCATAAAAAAATTCGAAGATTTTTGCCCGACCCTTGCATACATATTTGGGTGGGATTTTACATATACATAATAAGTTACATATACAAATACATAATTTTAAAAGGTAGTAAAACAGCGTATAAGTCAAAAAAGGTTTAATCTAATTTCCATCCATTCTACAAAGCATTTGTGCTTTATTTTGCTGGTTTAGCATTAAAAATTTTTTACTTATCTACCTTCCGGGCCGGGCCGGGCCGAAAGTGTCGGCCCGGCCCGGCCCAATCACCGGGCCCGGCCGGGCCGGGCCGGCCGAGCCCGATTGCCACCTCTAGCCCAGTTACGCAACAAATCTCCAGCTGCAGCTAGCGATCGCAAAGCGACGGCTTGCTTTCTCGGGGTGCGCTCGCAGAAAAGTGCATGTCGCTAGTGTAAAAACGGAAAGTTGCAGTGGCGCGAAAAAACACACACCGATTAAAATTCTACGGACTTTGTGGCAAAAGTAGTAAAATTCAACTCAAACCCATATTTTTTTCAAGTATCCAAAAAATTAAGTGAACCGACTACAATCTTTATCACACATTGCATAGCTAGCAGTGGACATAAAGATGCTAAGTAAAGCCCACAAAAACGTACAAAACCCCTCAACGAACAAACCAAATTCCAAACCGAACGGGTTAAATAGACTCCGCAAAAAGTGAGCGTGTTTTCATCGGCAAGAGTTCAACGAATTGTCTTTTGATCTGTAAAGATTTGCATATTTTATCAAAGGTTTTCGCTTAGTTCAAATTCCAGGCCCAAATAACAAAAGTCTGGAGATCAAGAACCCATTGATTATCACGAGTAGGATCGTTGAACTCTGTGTTCAGGGAAACCCCAGGGAAATTTAGAATCTTAGGATTTTTCAAACAGGCGGGCATACACTAGCGTGCGAGTTGTTTTACATTGCCAAACTAGACTTCTGTACAATAAAAATTTATAAGGAACAATTTTTGAGGTGTAAGTGGTCAATTTTTGGCCAAAATAAAAGAAAGGTTCAGAAATCATTTTTTGTGAAAACAAGCAGCCGTAACTATCAAAGCTGCGGATGAATTCAATAGATGCATTCACTTATCGGTAGCAGGGGGTTGTCAATGCAAAATTGCACAAAGGGTGAGCAAAATGCAAAGAAAATATGAGCGTCGCACTTGAAACACTTCCCTTTTTTCTTTTTTATCGGTCCTTCAGGAAAATATGGAACACTCTGTCCTCGGCGCAACATTTTGCTCATTATTTTCCCGACAAGTTGTTTGCAGTCTCTCTTTAGGTACCCGTCGAAAATCCGCGAGCAAGAAAAATCGACCATTAAAAAGCAAGTAGGAAAAATCGACCACAAAAAGCACGTAGGAAAAAATCGACACTTAATTCTACAAAATCTCCCGAGACTTGTATGAAAAGGCACCTACAATGGAGGACCTGATCCAGTGGCAAAAAACGTACCATTTTGCATCCAGGAAGTGTCAAAAAATGTGGCAAAATGCCTCCCTCTCCAACTAAAAAACTTCGTTTTGAAAGGCGTGCCTTTTTCCTCAAAAAAGGGCGGGCGCGCTTTTTTGAAATCTGAGTTTTTTTCATTTGGAGAGGGACACATTTTGCCACATTTTTGATACCCCGGATGCAAAATGATACGTGGTTTGCCACTGGATCAGATCTCACTGTAGTTGATAATAACTTTTAGTACAGTGGCTGTAACGAACGATCAAGTGAAGCCAGACAATCGAGACGATCGAGTACGAACAATAGACGCCTCCTCAAACACTTTAGCAACCTGACATTTATGTGACATTTAGGCTCTATTGAGGCTTTGTCTGCATTAATGAGACACAAGGAGCTTCACTATCAAAGACTTCTATTGGAGTTCGGAAACTCACTTCTTGAAAGCACAATAAAGTTACTTATTGTACATCGAATTTTAAACAGAAAAAGTACCGGCTTGAATTTTTGCGCTTTTATTGGCTTATATAGCACATGGGAAGTACCCCAAGTGCGTCACGCAGATTTTGCTGCAACGTGGCACAAATTCAGACGTTTTTTTGTACGATACATACATGCGAGATGTTTAGCTCGGGCTATGCAGGAACAACCGAGATTTTTAGGCCGAAAGTTGGGAAAAATGTTGAACTTTTTTGCGATTATGACGTATATTTTCATTGCCTATTCTTACCGTAGAGGGCAAGTTTCCAAAAAAAAGTATTTTTTTTCTGCAAGAGAACATGCTAAATACGGAGAGTCGGCCAGACAAAAATGAGGGTTTTATGCTACCAGTCTGTCGGGAAAATAACATTTTAATGTCATTTCAGCCGAGACAAAATGTTCATTATTTTCCCGACAGACTGATGTGAGTCTGTCGGGAAAATAATAAGGATTCAAAAAAAGCAAAATGTCTCGCATTCAGATTACAAGAAGCTTCTCTAGAGACTACAAACCCCATATCCCACACAAATGGCCTTACTCACCAACAAAACGGTCGTTAAAAACAACGGCTGACCTCACCACCCTCAACTCATACAATGCGACGTCATTGCACCCAACCTCTTGCATAAACACCTAGGCAGAAAATAAATTAGCTGTCCTTGGAGATTCCGGACAAAGTCGGGGCATTTTGCATGCTGGGAATCGGAGAAAAAGAGCGATGTTCCACCGCGGAATTGAAAATCAGATGGTAGCAATAAATTAACGGGGAGCATCTTTGATCCAGCGATTGGGTACTTTGGAGAAAAAGGTACCCAGGCAAAGACGATATCTGGACGAACAGGGCATCTGGGCAAAGAGGGCACTTTGAAAAAAAAGACAGTATGGTAAGGGGGGAGCAAGGCGGACTTTTTGAACATATCTCTGTGCCCTGGAGAAAACGTAAACATTTATCAGCAATATTCATGTTTTGAGGTAAGACGCTTTGTCAAAAAGTGGTTCTTTATGTCCCCTTTTATTCATAATTCTAAAAAAAGTCGACCGACTTACCATATCATTTTTTTGGAAAATCAAAAAAATACGTTCTTGAAAAATCCGCCTTGGTCCCCCTTACCATATCACTTTTTCCTCATGATTCCCTCTTTGCCCAAATGAGGGCATATGTGAGCACTTTGCCCAGGTTCCTTCTTCACAAGGTGCCCTTTTCGTTAGGTCTATTCGTGCCAAACCTAGTATGC